TTCAGGACAAATACATTAAACACTTCTCCCTGCCCTACCATGACGTCCAGACATCCTGACTGGCAAAAATGGACTCCCACTGTGCCAAACCATACAGCTTCTCCCTCTCTCCTCTTGCTCCAGTACCTGGTAGACAAAGCAGATGGTAGGTGCTTGGCAACCATATAGGAACTTGACATCAATAACATGCAACTCCTCCAGGCGGATGTTAAAGGCCTTGAGCTCTTTATTGTCCCGGTCTAGTGGAATAACCTTGAAAAGGCCATCATAGAGTCGCAGGCCAATCATTCGGCACTCAGGGTCAATGATGCCAATAATGCCCGTCTCTGAGGGGCGGCCAATTCGGTCCTGAGAAATAAAACTGGGGTTAGGGAAGAACCTCAAACACCTAGAGTAACAGAAAACGCTGGGCACCACCTTCCCAGGATGATTTTAAGAGTGGCAGTAAAACTAGTGGCATCTTCTTGACATGTCAGGACGCCCAAATGTCAGTGTACGCCTTTTTGCAAAACACTGAATCTCAGTGAATTATTACCTTCTCCCTTGGACTCTGAGTAAACTACAGAAGTCCTTAGTGTTTTCTCTTTGTTTCTCTGATCACACAGAGAGAGAGCTGCCCCAGCAGTACAATTTTCTTCACCAAATCATGACAACCCTACCTGGAAAACTCTCATCAGCCTGAAGCAGCCACCTCACCTGGACATTGCCATGAGCTCGCGTTATGATGTCAATGCTCTCGCCACTCTGCTTATACTCCAAGATGCAGGCATTGTACTTAGCTGTCAGGATAAACAGTAGGTCCTTGCTCTCCCCCTGGAAACCAACATCATACTATCAAAAGAGGTTTCTTTTGAAAACAGGAATACTTGTCTAGCCTTTAATCATCCTTTAAGCATATTAAATTCTTCAAGAACTTTCTTTTCTCCCTGAAAAAACCCACGGTAAGTATGTAACACATATTAGTTATGCACACACCCTAAGGGTGTGTACAGAAAGGCCAGAACTGAAGCTGGTAAACATCTAGTCCACTTTCATGATTCTTCATCTCTGCTCTACATATAACGTATTCATCTAGTTCCACGTCAGCTAATCTCAGTTACTCCATTCAAATTCTGAAAGATGAATGTAACGCCTCCTCTAATCCCCTCCAAGTACTTGGAAAAAATAAAAATAAAAAGTGAACAAAGGAAGCTGAAGTGCATCTATAAAGTCTCTCATACTTATTAACACAGACCCCAACAAAGTGAATATTTTGTTCAAAGGGTTACAATTTAAATTTTGAACCCACTGCTTCCCCATCAGATTCACTTACAGATAGAAACAGTCGAATTATAATAACAATAATAATTTGATGATGTGTTAACAATGAATGCTTGTTATGTGCTACGTCCTGTTATTAAATCACTTAATCTTGACAATAACCCAGAGGACTGGATACTGTTATCCCCATTTTGCAGATGGGGAAACAAGGCTCTGAAAGGTTAGATGACACCCCAAATTAGATTTAATAAGGAATGAAGCCAGTACTGCCCTAACTCTAGAGCCTACTCTCTGAATCACTATGATGACCCACAGGATGGTGACCCACATTTCAAACTGCTTTAATATTCCCTTCTAAAAAGTCAACTTGATAAAAAAAAAAAAGTCAACTTGATAAATTTTTCCCTAGCAAATCTCTCCTTCTATTTCTTGGAAGCTTTTTAAATAAGAATATAAATTGAAATCTGCCATTCAAAAAGAGAAGAGCTTCTCTCCTAAGCCTTATTGTACCCATCTTAAGCAAGCAGGGACATAAAACAACATAAACCTGACTACAACTAATAGCTCTCCCTTTGTTGCTGGGCCCAACCAACCCAGATCACTTACCTTGGGCCTGAAAAGCTCCATGACAGCAATCTTCCCATACATGCCCACCTCTTTGACAGGCCGAAGCCCCTCAGCAGTGACGACATAGATCTCTAATCTCGTATTTTTGGCAATCAACAGGTTCAAGTCTTCAGCTGAAGTAAAGTGTCCTGAAAGAACAGATCCTCTAATTTTTGAAGCCAAAGCACTATCTAAGTGATCCTATCACTTCTACCTAAAACCTCCTGAATTCTCGACTTACTGCACCTATTTCTCTGGTTCCCTCCATTCACCCCCTTCTCACCAAATCCTCAGAGTCTCACTTCACACATTCAAGAACGCTGCTTCCCTCATCAGATTAAGAAACTGGACTGGGCCTAAGAGCAGCACGTCCCTCAACTGCCAATGACTGTGAAAACCCTTCAGATGGCTCTGTGCCCTCGAATTTCACTTTTCCTATCGCAGTGGCCGACTCACTCTAATTAAGGGATGCTGGAGAAAGTGTTTCTCCCTATTCAGTCCAAATTCGAATTTTCACAAAATCTTTACCAAACAGACTAGATCCAACGAAAGAGAATTCTCAGAGCTTTATCTTAAAACCTTGTTTAGTTTGCACCTCTTGCTCTCCCAGCAGTCTACCAAAACC